ACGCGCCAGGGGAGCGCGCTAGATTTCGGGGGGGGGGGGGGGGCGCGTATTTACATGCCGCCTGGCTTCCTTAATGTGACTTCCGGTATCGGCAAGCACAGGGGGACAAAAATATCGGCACTCGATACTGAAAAACCGGTATCGGTGCATCCCTAGTAAATATGATTACTATGTATCCATGTGGGGACCGTAGCAGTCACATGGTCTGCTACATCTAGTCACCCCCTTGGTCGGTATGATGACACCTCCTGCTGTATTCAGAAAACCTGCTGATTTGGGGACCACTACCAGGAAATGTTTTACCTTGATTGGCCTCTTCATGTCTTTCTTGGTGAATCTCATTACCACGAGGCCAGCGATGGTCAGACCATAAAATATCCAGACGGCAAAGCTGAAGTAGTTAATGAGGGTGTTGATGTCTGCCGGGATGATATAAATCATTCCAATGATACCCTGGAGAGAGAGAGGAAGAACGATGATGATGATGAACAATCTACAACCTTCCAGAAGTTACCATTCAAGGTGGAACTTAATGTATTAAAAAGAAGCAAAATACTTAAAGTCATAAAATAAAATAATTGTACTAAATGGGGCCCTTTGGATCTATCTCCCCAACCCCATTCAGCAAAACTCTATTACAGTAGTTTTAAAATGTTTCAGGATAGAGTCGCACCTCTGCACCACAACAAACCCCAAAAACATGGCCACAAAGTTGTTTTTTTAAGCAATATGGCGCACCGCATGGCGAGCGCTTGGTGGTGCAGTGGCCCTATACTATAGAGTGCAGTAGGATTCCATTGACAATGGCACATATGGAGTAGGTGTGTTGCTGCGTGTGAGGGGGCCTGAGGTGCAGCATTCGGACAGATCACCAGACAGAGGAGAGGCGTCCACGTACATAAGACACAATGGCCGGTAGCGGGGTCAGGCGTTTGACGCTGATGTAAGACAAAAATTTCAACATGTGACCTTCCCGGCCAGCGACGTATGTGAGCCTGCGGAGGAGGGGGAAAAAAAATCACATTTATGATGCAACAAAGTGTAAATGTCAGAATTCTTGTTAAATGATGTAAAGATCCCGGTATGCAGATTTAGGCTTAATATTCACATTAAACAGTTTCACCAGCGCATTTAATTTAATTGGCCGTCTATCCCTAATAGATGGATCTCAATGACGGATCTGTAAACAAATCCTTACGGTCAGGTGGGATTCCACCGGTACCAGTTACCCCCCTGCTGCATGATGTGGTTCCTCCCATCGGCTTGAATGTCCTGTAATGAGCCGGCGGGAGGAATCACAGCATGCCCCTACATATTGTACTTTGGAGTGCCGGTGTCCATCCTTTACCCACTAGGGAGATGTCACCTCACTTCCTGTTGTGAAACTTCCATACATTCCAGATGGGAGCACAGGGAGCAGGGAGAAGTTCTGACTCTTCCACATCCTTATTTATCATTGGGCGGTCTAATGGCTGGGTTCACACCTAGGCGTATTGAATATGCGCGTTTGTCGCGTGTTTCGCATTGCGCGTTTTTACTGCGATTCGCGGTTAAAAAAAAACGCACGACAAACGCGCGTTTCCATGGGCTACTTGGCTGTATCCCAATGAAAACGCCAGACCAAAACGCCCCAAAGAAGTACATGTACTTCTTTGGGCGTAGGCCGTTTTGTAGCGCGTTAGGGACGGGCGGAAATACGGCAAGGTGTGAACCAGACCCATTGAATACAATGGGATTTAGATGTTTGAGCGTTTTGTAGAGCGTTCGTCGAGCGTTGAACGCGCTACAAAACGTTCAGGTGTGAACCAGGCCGAGTTTGCTTTGGACCGCACAAAGAGTTGATGAAAGGAGACGAATGGCCGTGGGTGCCGGTTGGCAACTGACCTGCCGGCAGTGAAGCACGTTCCGTTGGCTGATCCGATGGTCGAAAAGGCCACAAACAGGGGAACCAGCCAGGCCACCGGGTGCAGGACACGATCCCCGAAGGTCTGAAAGGAGACGGGTAAACAACTTTTACGGCAGGCACCAGGAATTCTTAAACATATAAAGTTCACTGCCTGCTCCACACCGACCAGCTACAGGAAGTGGTTAGGATTCAGGTTCAAGGTCGGGCCCGTCCTCGGCCTGAACATCATCCATACTGTACCTGCTGAAATGTTTGTCAGCACAAGGTAAAGCTCTAGATAGGCAAAGCCAGCTGTCACTCACGCAGCTGGGTGGATCTCCACAGTAATGTAGGGATCCGTCTCGGTCTCAGTATACCGCGAGCTGTAACTTGCGATATACCGAGCTTTGGGTGACGGGAGGACGCTAGTTTGTGTTCTCCCGTGACCCTTAGGAGAACTACGGGGAAAATCACTGACCCCATACTGATCCTTTAATGACTGAAGTTGAGCTGTAATTGGGATTTTATAAACTGCATTTGGCTCATATAGGTAGATCCGCCAAAGATTGGGCCAGAGAACCGTTCTCCTGATCTGGTCATGGCTATCCGTAGGCTTCGGGGTGCCGAGGACCATGCAGCGGCCATTTGCTTCCCATGGGAGCCCGGCTGAGGTCCAATTCCATATTCTGGGCCCAATATTTCCAGTATTTGTAATACAACAAGGATCTGTTTTCTTCAAGGCCAAAACTAATCCGAGGAGCAATCAGACTTCCGGCAAACTGCAAATGGCGGAGCGGCCCAGCAGACTGACCAGCAGGAGGAGGAAACTCACCACAGCGACCGCCGGAGACTGAAGGAGCTCTGTTGGGGTCATCACGGTGAAATAGGCGACATTGATCAGTAGGTAACAGGCCATGACCAAGGGGATCCCGAATATGATGGACAAGGGGAGGTTTCTGGAACAGAGACACAGATTGGAACACCCAAAAAGTACCCAGCATGACCACCCTAAACCCTTCTACGGAAGGCGGAGTGCTGCCGTCTGTCCGCTCCACCTTATATGTAAACCACCTCACCCAATATTATTATTTTGTATTAAATTTTCAAAAAAATATTACATTAATAATAATTTAATTAGTTTAAATAAATGTAAAATGGAGATCAGCTTATACTCCTAATCTATTCATAATTCGAGTTGAAATTAAAAAAAAAATGACTTTATACAATGCTGTCTGTCAGCAGTAACAATGCTGCAGCTTTGCAACAGTTTTATGACCTGGCAGAATTGTATTATTTTTCTACTTCCTCTAACAGGGTGACAACGCTGTTAATGCTGCAGTAAAATTGTGTAGCAGTGTTGTCACCCTGTGTGATCTTAGATGGACATGGAGTTTTAAATGGCATTTAAGTAAAAAACAACATATTTAAAGGGTGTCTATGGTCAGAAACTAAAATTTCCATAAGTACTATCCCTCTCCTAATAACCCTATCAATGGAGATGTTTGTAAAATGATGACAGCACCAAGATGGGTGCAGAATACAACCAATAGGTGTGATGGGAGCAGTGACCCAGCAGGTTTATGCTGAACAAGGACCAGACACTCTGACATATGGCATCTTTTACATGAATGTCATAATCATGAATCACCTCTAGGTGGCAGCACATGCACACCACACCTGTAACATGCTGCATGAGCTCCCAAACACCTATTAAAGGGCCACTTACTATCCAGAACATGATCGGCAGTTTATACACTGCAGGACATTCAATTGTATATAAAGCAGAGGAGGGATAAATCCCTGTAAGTTTATTGTTTGCTGTGTCTTGTTGGGTAGCTCTCCCTTCACTTCCTCTCCTGGAGATGCAACAGGAAGTCAACAGAAATCTCACCAAACAGAGATAAATCTGCTGTGGACAGTTGTCACCGGAAAAGTGGCCCCTGTGTAAGATTTGCCCTCACCTCCTGTTATGGTGACAACTCCAACATTTTGGATCTCTCATCACTTTCTATAGTAGAGTCTATGGTCGCCCGGGAAAAATAGAGCGGGTGAATCTCTGCAGGGGGGACGCAGGCAGCAATAAAAACCTGACGGGGGGGGGGCCTAGCCCCCTATAATTACACTTTAAAGGAGAACTATGAGGTGTGCTTTTCACTCACCTCATAGTTCTAGCCGACCTGTGACAATGAGATTGTCACAGGTCGGCTCAGTAGATCGGGAGGTGAGCGAACACATACCGGCGTTCGCTCACCTCTCCATCCTGTCACAGCTTTCTGCCGTGACAGGGGGAGGGGCTGGATTCCCTGCTCCGATCCTCCAGCGCTGACTGGCGGAACGGACGGGGGAGGGGGCGGGGACAGCTGGCGCTGCCTCTAGATAGGCAGAGCCAGCTGTCACTCACGCAGCTGGGCGGATCCCGTCATCTAAGTCGTGATCCGCTCCGGCGTCTCGGTATACCGCGAGCTGTAGCTCCCTATATACTGAGCCTAGGGTGACGGGAGGACGCTAGTTTGTGAAAAACAAAAAACACTGACCCCATAGTTCTCCTTTAAGAACAATCTCTGTACCGGAGATCTCCAGCAGGCAGCGGGGTTACTGGCCTGGCCATTCTACTACAGGGGCTGCTCAGAGCATCATCCAGGGTAGATTTTGCATGAGCTGCCACATACATAGCAAATGGCTGAACATGCAGCCGACTTCTCACTGGTGAGTGAATTTGTCTTTCTGCAATAATGGATAGGTAGGGAGTCCTTTGCTCACCGGAAGGATCAGTATGGGTATTGGAGAGCCCTTGATTGATACAAGATATCAAGTTACCCTGATCTCGGAGACCTATCGGGGAAGTGTGACACATGGGCATATGGCAAGAAGCATGCCAATCATAGGAAAGGTAGAGGCTGACTTGCTGCTCGGGGACACAAGAGATGCTCCTGTCATTATTTAGACACTTTCAGTTCTATCATTCCGCTCAAGAGCCACAAAAAACCCCTCCAGGGCTGGCTTCATCCTCTCCGCAGATGTTGCTGTCCCCTCCCACGAGGATCTCTAGTTTCTACTAGCATTGGACTCCAGCATGGGTACACCAGGGGTAGGCAAGCTCATCACTCCGCCTGTGGTGTCCATTGAGGCACTGCAGCCACAGGCATGATGGGATCTGTACATTCACCAAAGCTGGGGTGCTGAGGTTGCCTACCCCCGATGTATACAATGGCTCACGTCACTATTGGGGGTGCGGACGATACAACCCGCTTGACACCCGAATACGACCTCAGCATTAGATTTCCTGCGGCCCGCCCCGGCAGGCGAGGAGTTAAACGCCCTCCTATATTCCCCGCAGGTCGATTTCCAAATCTATTTTGTACTTCTACAAACCCCGCGTAATAAATCGATGGCGCTTAGTGCGCGCACGTCTTACCTGTATGGATTTTTAAGCTCCTCTGTAATATAATTGAGCTGGTTCCTAAAAGGGAGGAAAATAATTCACACATGACAAATTGATCCCATTGTGAGCAAATTATCGGAGCGGAGCGACGGTTCAGGAAGAGAGGGACCTGGACACCGACGATGGAAAATTCATTAGCCAGAAAACATTCGGAGGAGAGACACAGAGAGCACAACAGGATGTGATAGAACTTTGTATTGACTTTTAGGTGACGTGTTGGCCAACTATAATTTTTGTTAAATGGCCGGAAGGGTAGAGCCGCCGAGGGACGGCCATACAAGCAGGCACATGGGGGGGTCATCCGTCATCTCCTAGTATCCGGTGGTACGGTCTCTTACCAATTACGCTTTTGAGGGACTCAATTTTGTCTTGGATTAAACCATAACTAAAGGCAAAGCTTGCGGTGTACCCACCACACCAGAATATCTGTCTCTGAAATCCACCACACGATAGGCCAAGGGATACGCTGCTAATGGTGAAACCTTATTGGCTGAGAATCGACACTCGAGTAGAAGGGGCACATTTGGTTGCGGAGATTTAATTTCCCTCTTGTCTTACTTTCTCTTCCTCTTGCTACCCCCTCTATCTCTAACTCTCCTTCTCAGGCTCCTAGCGTGGGCAATATGGGGGACACCTGACCCCCAACTAACTAAAACCATTATAGCTCAAGATACGCTAACCCAAAGGGGTGGAACCATCAGAAATGACATAAAAGAATCACTAAGCAGCCATCCCCCCCAAGGAAGAATGGTGATTGCTATGTATCGTGTATGTTATAATTGCCTTAACGTCACCTTTATACTCTTTTTCTGACAACAGTGTACTGAATGTACATCTCGCTGGTTATGTAAAGCGTTGTCACTCTTCCTCACTTGTTTTGTCAATGTGAAAAACTCAAATAAAACTTATTGAACACAAAAAAAAAAAGCTTGCGGTGTACAACCTGCGAGTAATATCTAAACACTTGGTTTAGCTTTGGATGAAGCAGTAAAGAATTAGAACCTCAATTATGGAAGGTCCCTCCAAAGTGAGGAGAAATCCCATCATAGTTGTCACCGGAGCCAGTGTTCCCCATTGGGAGACTGACCATATGGCTGCTATGGGGCCCGGGAGTGGAAGGGGGCCCCTCATTAGTAATGTCATTGAGGCAAATTAAACATAGAAAATCTGTGCGCCTGTGAACAGAACACAAACCCAGCACGGTATCATTAAGGCTAGGTTCACACCTGGGCGATTTATCACGCGGATTGGGTCGCGCAAAACACAGATTTACATTGAAGTCAATGGAGTCTGTTCACACCTTTGCGGTTTGACGCGCGGATGAAAATCACCTGCTGCGCGAAAAGGTGCAGGAGCGATTTTCAGGCGGTTGTGCCATAGACATCTCTATGCATTGAAAACCGTGCGATACCCGCGTGGTTTTCAATGAACAGTCGCCCGATCGAAAATGCGCAACAATCGCGCAAAAACGGCTGTGACAACAGGGTGTGGACCTAGCCTAAGGGTTGAAGAGGTTGCCGTTGACACGGAACCTGTTAACATTTTCAGGTCATCCTTTAAATATATGCCATCTGCCTCCTGCAGCATGCCAGCCAAGCCATTCTATTTCCAACCCGTGCACAGGGCTAGGGGTTGTGCTCTGACTCGCAGAAAGCAATATGGGCACAAGCAGTGCGCAAGGCATTCTAGGGGGCGGCCTGATAGAGGCGACCTATGGCCGTGCCGCCATATGGTGAGGCGAATGTTGGCGTCTAGTGTTCTATATGGCTCCTATAAGAATATTATGGTGGCGGCTCCTTGAGGTGGGTGTTGATTTTGTAACATGACCCCAGTGTATTTTTCAGATGAATGGTAGCTACTAGAATAAATTCCACCCAAGGGTGTGCCAGAACCCTAGGGGGAGGGGCTTTCAAGAAATACTAAAAGCTCTCGTTACATATAAAAGTTTATAAATTCATTTATTATTATAACATGATTATTTAACGATTAAAATTCCAATTTATAAAACATAGTTGTCACCGGAGCCAGTGTCCCCATTGGAAGACTGACCATATGGCTGCTATGGGGCCCGGGAGTGGAAGGAGTGGAACATGATTATTCCATATATAGCATTGACATCACATGATTCATTTGTACATCATGATTGGGTAATTCATTCAAAATAATCCCGACATGTTTCGGCCTACTAGGCTTCTTCAAGGGGACAGGAACTGAAGGGGTCCAATCGCAGTAAATGCCAGGATAGAGCGATGGACCACAGCAGGTCAACTATATTCACCGTTACTTCAAGTGAAGAGGCAATCAAGCACGGGAGTCGTGTCGGGAGAGCGATATGCAGCACCAAATCACCAAGAACATGGGACCAAGCCTCAGGTAATTGGTTGGGAAGCACGCAACACGTATGTTCAACCTCCAGAGCAGTCCTCCCAAGTGCCGCAATTTTCAAATAAATGGCTTCTCCTGTTAGTGGGGTCTCCATGCCTCTTATAGTCATACACATGTGGAAAATTTTGGAAAAAATTAAGAGCCGTGCCTGGCCACACCCCCTCAGATCCTATAGCTATAAATGGTGGGTGTGGCCACAGGCAAAGCATGGGTGGAGAGACTGTATAGCCTTCAGTCTGTCTAGGTCAGTGGTGGTGAACCTCGGCACTCCAGCTGTTTTGGAACTACAAGTCCCATGAGGCATTGCAAGGCTCTGACAGCCACAGACATAACTCCCAGAGGCAGATGCATGTTGGGATTTGTAGTTTTGGCACAGCTAGAGTGCCGAGGTTCGCCGCCACTGGTCTAGGTAGTCGGATACATGCGCACAGAAAGGAGAAGAAGTATAAGGTGCGATCACTGTGCAGCACTAAAGCCGGCCATACACTGGGCCATGTTTCTTGTTCAGCCGCTTGATTCCTCCATCCATTCCTAACAGCGTGGATGGGGTATCTCCCTCGCAGGGCTATTCAGGGCCGGATTTCCCACAAGGCCACTGAGGCCCGGCCTTGGGGCAGCAGGGTGTAGAGGGGCAGCACGGCCACCGGGCGGGTGTTTTTTTTTCTACATTTAGCCCTGCTTCGGGCAATCGAGGAACCCGGCCTTGGGGCAGCAGAGAGAGTAAATCCGGCCCTGGGGCTATTGTATGCGGACAGGCGGGGGCCACAGCAGTTAACATAACCAAAGAGCAGCTGCATTTGATTGGCCGCAGTCACTGACAGGGCAACAATTTTCGGCCCGGCTCCTTGGGGCAAATCTCAAATGGAAAATCAACTTTTGACGGACAGAGTGCCGCTGATATGGTCACCCACAGCTCGAAAAATGTCAGCAGTGTATAGCCAGCTTGAGCAGGAAGCATTGCCTGTGT